AAGACCATTTCCTCATTGTTCTCCATATAATAAACATCTCAAAGGTAAAAAAAACAAATCGTGAAAGAAATTCATAAACCCGCGAGAAAAAATTACAAAAGGCGTAAAGTAATACTGAAGGGAATCGACGATTTATGGCAGGCATACTTGATAGAGATGATACCTTACGGCCAAAAAAATAAAGGTTTCAAATATATATTGGTAGTAATTGATTGCTTTTGTAAATATATATGGGCAAGTGAATTGAAAAGAAAAAAGTGTCTGAGATAGCTGAGGCGTTCAGGAAAATATATCAATTTTCCGAAGGACGTGTACCAAGAAATTTGCAAGCCGATCAGGGCAATTACATCTGCTGCTGCTCGTTTTACAATAAAGAAGCAAATTCTTTGTTTAAGAAATTTGAGATAAATCACTCTTCGACCTGCAGTAATATGAAAGCATCTACAGTTCAACGAGCTATTAGAACCTTGAAAACAATGTTTTGGAAGAAATTTAGCCTCCAAGGATCTTACGAATGGCTATCACTGTTAAAATCTTTACTGGATGAATACAACCATAAAAAACACCGTACTATCGGAATGGCACCAGCAGCAATAAAACCAGGTAGATTTTTTTTTTTTGCTTTACGTTTCCGCATTAGCCACCGGACTTTAAAACTCGTGTGCAACAACATGTGGAGGGTTGCCATTTAGGCGGTACCAAGAGGGCCACCAACCCGGACGCAGCCAACCAGCCGGGCGGATCAACGGGCCTGCCATTTGGGTATCCTTCTTTAGGAATATTCATTATGGCAAGATCGTCTTTCACAAAACATCTGTAAATAGGAGAGTAGAGGATACGGGAAGCGAGAGTACGAGCTAAGTCGTTGTTACCTCCAACTTTGAATGATTATTTGAAAACTGTTATTATGCCGAAATTGAGGGAGGGTAATACTCGGTCATTGGTATTAAAAGACCCCTACTTAATTGAACATGGTAACATGCTGAGCGAAAAATATGCTGGAGAGGATCAGCACAAAATGATTTTAACACAAATAAGAACAATTTCGAAAATTATTTTCAAAATTAAGGAAAAAGTTGCGATAAAAGAAAATGTAGTGCTTGATTCGTCCAGGGATTGTTTGACGCCCAGAACATATGTTTATTTTGTTCAAACTATAAGGGAAATGGGAGGTGCCTGTCAAGGCCCAGGGGGAGGTTACCGAAACCATCCGTTGTCGACCAGTATGGGAGAATATTTCGGACTTTTTCTAAAACAGTGGGGTATAAACTTCGATTAGAAGAAGATTCAAATAACGTTAGTAAAGGAATGGCAAGATATTTTTGATGATTCATTTTCCGACCGAGTTTCAAGTGTAGCTCGGAAGCAGGCAGATAGAAAGACACTTATAAAACGTCAGGCCATTCCAATCATGGAAGATGTGCAAAAATTAATTAATTTCGTTAAAATAAATAGAAGAATCCTTCACCGCGTTAGAGGGAGGTTTGGATGAAAAAGCGTATAGAATGTTTGTGAAAGTCCTGCTCCTTAAATTGTGGATATTTAATAGAAAGAGGGTAAGAGAAATCGATCAAATCGCTCTTGAGGATTGGCAAAACGCCCAAGAGGTGAACGAGCGAACTGATGAATACCTCTCTCTTAATAACTCAGAAAAGTTATTTGCAACTTCTTTTAAACGATTATGTGTGAAGGGAAAATTAGGTAGAATAGTAGCTTTGTTAGTTTTAAAAGAGGACCTTAAATTTTATAATAGAATGTTAGAGTTAAGATCGATGGCCGACGTTAGTCCAAATAATAGGTTCTTATTTGCCAGGGGAGGAATCATACGTAGAGGGAACCGCGGTGATGCGAGAATTCGCAAATGAATGTGGCGCTGAAAATCCCACACTCCTAAACAACTTCCAAAGGGACCAAACTTAGGAAACACTTGGCTGTAAGCCTTCAGTATGTCAGCTTAACAACTGAAGACTTTAGGCCATCGGGAGGAAACCCATTTAAAATTTTATAGACATCCAGTTTCAGCGTTACATCTCGGCAGGATTAGCAAGCTATTTACAGCGCTAGATAAGGATAGAATTCAAACATTCAGGGGACAGGCTCTTGATAGTATTGTAGTAGAAAATTTGGAGTATTTAGATGGTCAACCCCCCACGGTTCTTCCCCAAACCCCACCACAAAGCCTTCAGCAAGACTTTATAAATCAGCAAAATTTAAATATAGATACTTCTCCACAACCTGGTTGCTCATACGCGGTACGAGATAGCCCTGATTACGAACGGGGGGAAACAGATACATCGAGTGAGGAGGAAATTGTGATACCCCGCGGTGGAAACCCCTGGGAGAAAGAGAAGACATGCCCCCAGATTGAAGCAAGGCAAACGTTTTCGTTGGTCTAAAGAAATAAAGAATGATTTGAGGGTCGAATTTGATGAGGAAATCAACAACTGTAAATTACCTGGATTTGATAGGATAAGGCAGGGGTGTATAAAATTATCTAATAAGCATAAATCCCTCCTTACTATGAGTCCGAAATTAGTCAGGGGGGCAATCAATAATATTATTCAACAATTAAAAAATAAATAAATAAAAGGTTTATTATTAATCAGATCTCTTCTTTTGCAGATTACAACATGCACTGGAGTTTTTTTATTTGTATATTATGTACATATATTTTTTTTCTGTGAATATTTTGTATTATTTTAAATTGATTAATTTGTTAGTAGTTATTTAGTATTATTTTCCTTCAAAAGGTTGTTGTATTACGTTTATTTGTTTGTCTTATTATTTATACATTCCATAGACGGCGACAACAAAAAAAGTCAGTTTCTTTCCTCAAACTATTAATTTTTATCCGTTTATGAAATATAATAAATAATAAGATGAAAAAATTCTCTTTTATTAATCATCTAGGAATTGCCTGCGTTGAGCGCCGAATTGAAGTAGCTGTACACAGCACCCGGAGCCCAACCTCGGTGGTTGGACATAGAAGACCGAGGTCTGACCACGGTCTGCCAACACCCGAGGTGGGTGATTCTCGAGGCCTGCCGGTAATATGTTGAAGAAACTGGAATTGCCGGTGGTCTGCGAGAAGTGATAGGCTCAACTCTGCACAAGTGTGTATATACGTATCAATCATGTGCGGATTTGAGCTTATATAAATCCACAAAAAAATCTATTATTAATCAGATCTCTTTTCCAGATTGCTATATGCACCGTAGTTTTTTATTTTTTAGAACCTTTTTACGTATAAATAATGCAAATAAAATATTTATGACAATTATTTGTTTGTCTTATTATTTATCACATTCCATAGTCGGCGACAACCAAAAAAGTCGATTCTCGAGGCCTGCCGGTAATATGTTGTAGAAACTGGAATTGCCCGTAATCTGATCTCATTTGGCAGATTACAACATGCACCGTGGTTTTTTATTTGTTAGAAGCTTTTTATTTACAAATGAAAAAAATAAAATATTTATGTGATTGTGTAATATGTATACAAATTATAAATCTGTATGGGTATACAAATTTTTCATGAATTTTTTTATATGTAAATATATAATATTGTTCACGTTTTTCATAGTTATTATTTTTTTATTATTCCCAATTCATTTTGTCATGCATCTATGCACCAAAAAAAAAAAAAGATTTGAGTGTAAATGATGTAAAGTTTTATTTTCAAACAATTACATAATTATACTTGAACTTTTACAGATGTGAACGAAACTCAACGTTATTTAAAAATTTCTTTTTCAAATCTAAAGAGAAAGTGTTTTTAAATAATTTTTATGAATCTTTTTTATAACATAAAAATAGAGAAAATGAAATATTAAAAAATGCACTCTTGGCGAAGAAAAAACGTATGGTAATAAAACTTTTTTCTCATTTGTTACAGGAGTAATATATGGTAACTAGATAAACATTTTTTTATATTTTTAATCTTAATAAGATCATAAGGGAAAGAATTAAAATTTTTTTGACTACTTTCGTTTAGATCGGTTTAAAAATTAGTGAATTGGAACTCATTTTCCGAAACGGAAACGTTCTCAGAACGCATACTAACGTTTGACGGGGATTTTGTTCGTATGGTCAACAGCGGAATTGAGAAAACAAGTTTAAAAGACATTATTGTCATACTTAATTGGGTAATCTACGTGAGCCGTGGAAAATTTTGAAATTTTTTCAGGCTGCTTCAAATTCGATACAAGAGAAAAAGCGGAGAAAAACACGGAAAATTTATTTGACTAGTTTCTCATCTAGTACGATCCAAAACTAACGGAAAAATGTTGGAAGTGTGAAAATCGAAAGAGATGTCTACGAAAATAAGAAGAAAAATGTTGGAAGTGTGAAAATCGAACGAGGCATCTACGAGATATTAAGAAAATCCAGCTAGTCATCTAGGAGAGAACAGGAAAAGCGGATGAAAACTCGGAAAAATTTTTTGACTTCTTTCTCATCTAGTACNATAAACTTCTTGTACCGGATAATATCAAACAACACGTAGGGTTAATCGTTCCATGCCACTCCTGATTGGATTTGAAAATATAAACTTCTTATACCGGATAATATCTAACAATACGTAAGATTAGTCGCTACATACCACCCGCGAATACACTTTAAAATATAAACGTTTTGTACCGGACAATATCAAACAACACGTAAGTACGTAATTGGAGATGAAAAAGGTAATTCCAAAAATAACGAATATGATCACAACAGATACATAACTTTTAATATGGTTAAAGAATTTAATTCAACTATTAAAAAATTTAACCTCAATAAAAAATCTATATGCTTTAAAATCACTCCATCAGTATTTCAAAGTAATGCAAGCGCAGAACAGACAAACGATTTTATTGTAACGGCCTCAATCATAGAAATGTCTACAGGAACGGGAATAGTGAATATGAAAAACTTTTCTTTTCAGGATATGTCTCGACTAAAAAGAGAAATAATAACAATTACCAATAAAGATCGTTTATGTTTACCACGGGCGTTAGTAGTGGGTCGGGTATTGGCTAAAAGAGATTAAGGGGGTAAAAGAGATCCAAAGTATATAAAAATCAGACGAGACTATTCCATATTGCAAGAAATAAAAGCCAAACAATTGATTAAAAAATCCGGAGTTGAGATATAAGAAGCAGGCGCAGCAATAGAAGAACTGAGGAAATTTCAAAATTATCTAAGAAATTACGACATAACTGTGTTTGGGTTTAAAAATAATAAGCGTGTTAAGCTTTTTCAAGGGGAAAATTCATCTGCCATTTATAAAATTAATTTAATACACGAAAATAATCACTTTAATGTAATTTCAAGCTGTACATCGATGTTTAATGCCCACTATTTTTGTGAAAAATGCAACGCCACTTATTCTAACAAAGAAAGACATATTTGTAGAGACATTTGTTCATTCTGTTTCAAAAAACCGAAATGCAAAAAAGATCCTAAGCCGACTTTTTGTAACGACTGTTCGCGAAATTTTCCTAATTATACCTGTTTTACAACTCACTTAATGAGCAGCAGTAAAGGGAAATCGATATGTCAGAAAATAAAGCGATGTACTTTATGCAGCACTACTTACATTCAATTAACGCACCTCATGAGTGCGGTGAAATTTTTGGTACAATTTGTAACACCTTCAAAAATAGTCAGCATTTATGATATATTAAGCAGGACAAAAGGTCTCCTACATATAAAAATGTATTATATTCTTCGATACAGAAACGAGACAGGAGAAAAAACTTTCAGACAAGGCTATACTCCACGAACCAATCTTATGCATAGCTCAACAATCATGTTCAAAATGCGAGCTGGAAAATGACATACAAAAATTATGTTCATATTGCGGGATAAGGCAACATATTTTTGAAAAAAATCCCATCGAAGGTTTAATCAATTATCTGCTTCTACCTAGAAAACAATTTGCGACAATAATTTGCATAGCTCACAATGCTCAATCGTTTGATTCCCAATTCGTTTTAAAAACATTACTCGAAAACCATGGGATATTCCTGATCTTATAATGCGGGGAGGAAAAATATTAAATTTAAAATTCAAAAATGTCAGCATTATAGACTCTCTTATTTACTTTCCGATCCCTCTCTCTATGCTTCCGGTAGCTTTCGACTTGCCAAAATCTTATAGAAAAGGATATTTTCCTCATTTTTTCAATAAAATAGAAAATTACGGTTACAAAGGTGAAATACCAGAAAAAGAGTATTATTCGCCAGACACTATGTCCCTTAAAGAAAGAGAAAATTTTCTAAATTGGTATAAATGTCTTAGGGAGAGTAATTATGTTTTCCAATTTAAAAAAGAATTAATCGATTATTGTATAAATAATGTTGATATTTTACGGCGATCGTGTACAATATCCCGAAAAACGTTTATCGAAAACTGCAACGTTGATCCATTTGCTGATAGCTTCAGCATGTAATTTGGTGTTTAGACGCAATTTTTTAAAATTGGGGTTATACCTCGAAATGGGTATAGATTAGATGATAGACAGTCAAAAATTGCATTGAAATGGTTAGTTTGGGAAGAACACAAAAGAAAAATAACCATTCAACATGCAGGAAGAAATAAAGAAATGGTTATTTCGGGAACTAAATTGAAGTAAATGGGTTTTGCAGTGAAAGCAATACGATTTCTGAATTTTACGGGTGTTTTTTTTTCATGGTCATCCCATTTGCTACCCTACAAAGAGAATTCAAAAGCTATATCGTACGTCTAACGACACAATGAATAGCAGATATGAAGATACAATCAATAGGGAAACATTATTGAGGAAGAGGGGCTACAATTTAGTCCATGTTTGGGAATGCGAATTAAATAAATTCCTAAAAACTGATGAAGTGTTCCAAATTTTTTAAAAATGATTCATTTTTTGATTTTGAACCCTTTAACCCCAGAGATGCATTTTACGGTGGTAGAACATGGAACACCAAATTGTATTATAAGGCCTTACCAGGTGAAAAGATTAATTACGTCGATGTCTGTTCCCTCTATCCGTACATATGTAAATATGGGAAATATCCAATTGGACACCCTCAAGTATTTGTTGGAGAAAACGAGTGTCGTCGTATAACCGGAAATAATTACGATTTAAATTCTATAGATGGGTTTGTTAAATGCCTAGTTCTTCCTCCAAGAGATTTATACCACCCTGTATTACCTACCAAAAAACACGGAAAGCTTATGTTTATATTATGTAATAAGTGTGCAGAAGAACTGAAAATTAATTATTGTACTCACCCGGACGCACAACGATGTTTGTATGGTACATGGGTATCAGATGAATTAAAAGAGGCTGGAAAATTCGGATACAAGATTATAAAAATACACGGCTTCTATAATATACGTACAAAGACCTAATGTCATATATATAACCCTCTTTTGGGTAACTATTTAGGCGATCTTACAGATGAACTTCTGGAATACGGTAATGGAAGTTATATATGAATTTGTATCAGGAGGGCCTAAAAATTACGCTTACAGGGGTAAAAGTACAAAAAATGGTGAATTATTTACGGCATGTAAAGACAAAGGGATCAATTTAAACTTTCAAAATTCGCAGCAGGTGAACTTTGCGGCAATTAAGGATATGGTAATAAAAAATCACGAGTCAGATTGTAAAATTCTGAAATTGTCTAATATTCGGAGGCAAGCCAATTGTAGCATTCTTACTGTTGAAGAAAGAAAGACATAAAATCAATTTTATGAAGAGAGTGAGAACGGAGGATTTCGATTCTTTACCTTAAGGGCATTGCAAAATTCTTAAAATTGAATAATACTCGTAAATGTCTAAATATTATAGCTATAAAAAAACATATACATCGATAACATCGAGATTTTTGTTTTGTTTCATATATGTTGTATCTGTAGAAGGATTTTTTTTATTATAAATTAAATGGTGTTTTCATATATAGTTTTTGTGGGTTTGAAGTAATTTTCAATATAACGGTACGAAAGTGTGAATGTATGGTGACTGGCGTGGTGGTTAAACACTCGTAAACTTGAGCGATTGGACGGTCCCTGGCGAGGTCGTAAAAAACCCGCAAACCAAAATTGTTGTATGAAAATTATTTCAAATCTCCTCCTCGACGTATCTCCACTTTGCCGTAGTGAGGAGGCTTTACAAACAAAGAGAGATACATAGTTTAATGTCTTTGTTTTATTTTATTTGATGAATAATAACAACAAATAATTCACAGCCTGGAGAATGTAGAAATGCATGAACTTGTTTACCACGTTTATTTTCATCATATTGCTGTGATGGACTTTAACCTCGATCAATCCAAAAAGAGTATTTATAAAGAAATCACACACACAACAGGGATTAGACATGCAGGAACATGCTAGTCTACGTTTGATAATGTAATGCGCAGTCGATCAAACCAAGTTCATTTCGTCGTAGGCGTTCGCTGAAGGAGGTCTTCCAAATAAAACAAGGTAATACATATGAATACATAACATTATTTATTTCGTACAAATATTGACTTACCTTAATTTCACATAGATGTGCCCTATGAAACTCGTACGTGCTCTCAACCAAATCACTGCTCGAAAAAGAATTGGAAAAATTTCCGATTTAAACGTAGGATTCGCATACGAGGTGAAGGGTTTGGTCAAAATCCCAACGAAATACGGCGATGCCATTGTCGCCGACCTTGAATACTTCGGACCTACGTACATCGGAGACTCTTCTTCAACGAGAGTATTCCTCCCGGAACGTTTCAACGAGATAATCACCGCTGACGTGTTAACTTCGTACGGCGAAACACAACGAAAAATGTCACTAGTATAAAAAGGCGACCACGAAATTGAATTCATTTAATTGTAACACTTTATAAATAATATAAATAAATAATATATTCTTCAAACCTGCAGTTTTTCTTAACCCATGACACAATATGATGAAAAAAAGGTAGCCACAACCCTCATCAAATAGTATAATGGTGAAAAAATAAGTGACGTCACTCGTCAAACCCCATTGAAAAAATCAGTGACGTCAGTCGTCAAACGCCAAAGTGGCGTCACGCCTAGGCACGATCAGACCCGACGACTAGTGGTGGGGTGTCTGGAAGGAGGAAAAGAGGTGGTAAAAACTGTCTCGCCAGACGACATGACAGGGAAGGTGGAGGGGGTAATGTTTCTCTGCCCCAAGTGTCACCTATACTACTGATGTCTATACTTTCATGTCTAATCGCGGGTGGCACGTACCGTGCCGTGTTGTTGGGTTTCAACTTTTGCAAATATTCAGGGCTTCTTTTAGACTCTCGTAATGCCACAATTTCCTTCCAACATAATCCCCTTAAACATAATCCACTAATCAATTAACATGATTTTCAAAAAGATGATCGATCTACAGAAATAGAAGATACAAAAATACTCAATCATTCCCCATCCTTGAAGGCACACCCTAACATTGATACATCAGGTCTTTAATATAATGACATCAATCCTTACCACCAGATAATTAAAAAAAATACTTTATAACTAAATTTCAAGACATTCTATCAGACAAGGTGGGAGAGGTAAAAAACTACCAATTAAAGATTGAAATAAATAACTTACCACCTATCAATCAACCTCCTTACCCTATCAACCCTTTAGATTTAGAATACATGCGTGATATCACTAATCAACTCTTAGCACAAAATGTCATTCGACCGAGCCATTCACCATGGGCATCGCCAGCCTTTCTAGTGAATAAAAAATCAGAAGGTGAAAAGCGATTAGTAATTAATTATAAAAAAGTAAATGAAAACATAAAATTCATCTCATGGCCTTTACCGACCATTCAAGATATTTTCAACTTTATTCATAATGCCAAATATTTTACAGTCCTAGACATATCAAACGCCTTTTATCAATTGCCTTTACACCCTGAATCTAGGCAAATCACGGCCTTTAAAACCCCCTATGGGACATTCGAATTTAATAGAGTGCCAATGGGTCTAATTCTACGATCTCAAGCCTTAATAGAATTTCTGGAAATTTTTTTTGCAAATATCAAATACAAATTCCTGTGGAATTGTTTAGACGATCTTTTAATTTTCTCCGAAAATAAACAACAACACATAGAACATATAACGGCGGTTTTACAAATTATGCGTGAAAATGGTTTAACGTTAAAACCAGACAAGTTGAAACTAATGCAACCATCTGTAACATATTTAGGTCACCGAATCTCACATAATTCTATAGAGATAGATCCAACCAGGATAGAAGCAATCAAAAAGTTAGAAAGATCCAAAGCCTTAAAACAAACACTTTCATTTTTAGGCATGCGTGCATTCTTTGCAAGATTCATTCCAAACTTTTCACAAACATAGGCACCATTACACAATTAAAAAAAAACAAATGCACAGTTGGTATGGACACAGGAATGCGATAACGCTTTTCAAACACTAAAAAACCTTTTAATATTGCCACCGGTCTTATCCACACCAAATTTTAACGAGCCCTTTTTGCTCTACACAGATGCATCCAGTCATGCTGCAGGCAGTCTCCTAGCCCAAACAGATGACAACAATTTTATTAAACCCATAGCATTCTACTCCAAAATGTTTTCTAAGCATGAAAGCAATTACTCACCTTACGAGAAGGAACTGTTTGCTGTCATTCTAAGTTAACGCCACTTTCGACCGTATCTAGCCCAAAAAAAATGTTTTCTTTACACTGACTGCAGCGGGTTATCATATTTTTTGGGAGTGACCGGGCCAAAATATTGAATAATCCAGCCACCAAATGGATTTCAGAACTAGATTCATTCACATTTCAAACAAAACATGTTAAAGAAAATAACAACACAGTAGCGGATTACCTGTCTCGCTTTACTATAGCGGACAAGGACGATGAAAACATTCAATGTCTAGGTCAATGTTCTCAACTAAATCAACTCCCACACTCTCCATCTGTCTTTACTTCTCCTATACAAAATCTTCCGTCATTCTTCCACGACTTCCTTTCCTATCAAAAACAAGATCCCTACATTGCTGAGCGATTACAAAATGATGAGCAAAACGTAAAATTAATCAGAAATCTGATATATTACGTTCATGTTAGTAATCCTACGGCAAAAAAAAATCTCGTTCCAGAATTATTGAAAGAACCCATCTTCCAGTACTACTATTGCAGTACTTACGGTATTCATCTAGCCTTCACAAAAACATTAGCTAACACCAAAAAACATTTCACCTACCCAGGAATAAACAAGGATATCAAACGTAAAATTTCAATTTGTAAAATATGTGCCACTATAAAACCCAATACTCATCCTTATCAAAAGATTTTACATAGCACCCCCCTGAAAAAATTTTCCAAAATCTCTATATAGATTTCGTTGGACCATTGCCTACCTCAAAAAATGGCAGCAAGTATTTCCTGATCGTTGTTGATGCATTTTCCAAATATATTTTTGCAATTCCTTGTCGTAACGTCACCACACACATTTTACTCAAAATATTAACACAACATATTTTCGCACAACACGGTCTACCTAAATATATTATTTGTGATCGACAATCATGTTTTCGTTCTGTTCACTATAAAAATTTTCTTTTCAATTTAGGAATCACCTATGTATTGAATATCGCTAGATATCCGCAAGCAAACCTTGCAGAAAGATACATTCAGGGTATTAAAAAATCGTTTAGAGCCTTTCATGCAGATAATCATAAGGAGTTGGAAGATAATTTGTTTTTGTTTACCCTTGCATTAAACTCTTCCATTAATGAAACTACAAAAATCTCACCAGCCAAACTTTTTTTGGGTCGGGAACTTCAGCACCCTATTACATTAAAATTAATAATCGTCGATGATTTGGAAATTTTGTCGGAACCAGATATGGAGTTATTATTAAACAAACTTACCACAATCTACTCAAAGCTCGCAAGCAAAGACTGAAATTATACAAGGATGATATAAACAATGATTTACCGTAAATAGGTGACACAGTTTATTACAAAAATATCGTATTATCGAACAAAGACAAAGGCATACAATCTTCTTTAATGCCTAAATATATTGGTCCGTTTATTATCAAGAAAATATTCAACAAAGTGTCATATTTAATTCAATCTACTGAAAATCCTGATCAAAACATTCATGCACATATAACACAAATAAATAAAACAGCACTTTAATCCTCCATGAATAATATATGCACATACACGTAGCAGTATACAGTAACATACCAACATAGCATAGACATTCCTTTCCTTCCTTTTTTTTCTGAGGAAGAGAGAGACCCAGAAACAATTTTCCTTCTCCGTTTTCTTCGGATGAACTTGGAAAGTCGCTCCAATTTAAGAAATCTTATCATCATGTGGTGGACTTTGTGTGTCTTACGATTTGTTATCAAAATCATGATTATATAAGATCATGTAAAATTAATTACCTACCAACTCGCCAGGTAAAGACTTTTTTCGTTTTTTTATGCCTTTTGGGAATTTTTATAACAATTTTCAAATTGGAGCGCGAGTGCGCAAGAATTCGCTTGATGCGCGGCGGCTCCAGCAGACAAGGAACGCGTGGCGTCCGGACAGGTTGCTTCTCGCCTTTGCGGTGTTCCGCTCTCGCTTTTTCCCCGGGGACGACAAAATACATATATATTTCTCTATTCAACGGCCTTTTTTCTGGACAGAGGAGATTTTTCTGGCACAACGGACTGGGCAACCGTCTTCCATTGAGTTCGACAGTTATTTACCTTTGACTTTTCATCAAGCTGCACTGGCAGGGTAATCACATGTCATAAGAATATTTTATTTTTAATATTTTATTTCTGGCAATTGATTTTTTTTATTATTGCCGGCTCAATGTCATTAATTTTAACTAAGGAAAAAGTATTGATTTACTATTATTAATTTTTAATTTTTAAAAAGGTTTTAATCGGTATTTTTCATTTTAAATACAGAAAAGGTATTTATTTTGTATTATGTATTTTCAATTTAAAAAAAAAGGAATTTATTCGGTAGTATTCATTTTTATTTTCAAAAAATACAAAACAGGTGTTTATTTGTATTTTATTTGCTCTGGTTTAGTTTTTATTTCTTCTTACATGGTTTAAAACAACTGTCCTGATCCCACCACTCTAATTATAGTCGATACATACCACCCCTGATTAGACTTGAAAATATAAACATATTCTACTGGCTAATAACAAACTACACGTAAGGAAAGCCGATACATACCACACGCGATTAGATTTGAAACAATATATCTTCTACTGGATAACATCAAACAACACATAACATTAGTCGATACATTCCACCCGCGAGTAGATTTGGAAATATAGACATAATTTACTGGATAACAAGAAACAACTCGAAAGGTTAGTCGAAACTTTCGACGCGTCGTTACACGTGAAAATATATACATATTCTACTGGATGATATGAAACAACACGTAAGGATAGTCGATACATACCACCTGCAATTACACTTGAACATACAAACATCATCTACTGGATTATACGAAACACCACGATAGGTTAGTCGATACATTCCACCCGTGAGTAGATTTGGAAAAAAATACATGTTTAACTGGTTCATATGAAACAACACGAAAGGTTCGTCATTCCCTTCCACCGGCGATTAAACTTTTTCTACTGGGTAATATGAAATAAGATGTAATTTTAGTCATTGCATTCCACATACGCGTAGACTTGAATATATAAACATATTTTACTGTATACTAAGAAACAACACGTAAGGTTAGTCAATACATTCCACCCTCGAGAAGATTTGGAAATATAAAAGGATTTTACTGGCTAATATGAAACAACACTGAAGGATAGTCGAAATATTCTACTAGCGAGTCGACATTGAAATAAAAACACATTTTACTGGTTAAAATGAACCAACATTTAAGGTTAGTCGATACATTCCACCTGCGATTACACTTGAACATACAAACATAATCTACAGGATTATATGAAACACCACGATAGGTAAGGCGATGCATTCCACCCGCGTGTAGACGTGAAAGTATACATATTCTCCTGGATAATAAGAAACAACACGTTAGGTTTCGGCGATACTTTCCACCAGCGATTATACTTAACATATAGACATATTCAACTGCATAATACCAAACAACTCCTAAGGATAGTCGGTACATACCTCCCGCGATTAGACTTGAAATTATAAACATATTCTACTGCATAATATGAAACAACACGTAAGGTTAGTCGATATATTCCACCCGCTAGTAGACTTAAATTTATAAACATATTTTACTGTATAATATGAAACAACACGGAAAGTTAGTCGAAACATTTCGCCCACGAGTAGATTTGGAACAATAAACATATTCTACTGGATGATACGATACACCACGAGAGGTTAGTCGATACATTCCACCCGTGAGTAGATTTGGAAAAAAAATACATGTTTAACTGGTTCATATGAAACAACACGTAAGGTTAGTCGATACAAAAGCAAATACGAATTTGAAGCTATCCAATGGTCGTTTGTTCCTGCTGGCTAAGACAAGTGGCATGCCTAGTATTTTCTTCTTTCTGTAGCCTTCTGGATTATTTAAGAATGTAGATAAGAAACAACACGTAAGGTTAGTCAATACATTCCACCCGTGATTAAATATGAAAATATCAACTTATTCTACTGAATAATATAAAACAAAACAGATGTCCCTATTCCGTCCTTGGTTTTTGGGTACGTCCAAAAGCGATATTCTACGATTCTTCATTTGTAATATATTTGCTTCTTGAGAAAGCGTCAAACAACTGTCATGACTCATTACAAACGTTTACATCGATAGTAGCAACAATTTGAGGTTTTTACCTAGTCAGCAGTCCTTTAGAAGTAAATTCAATTGGATGTGTGACAACAAATACATTTGAAGACTTTATCTTAGATAAGATAAAAAATTAACATTAAGTTTAAATTGGTTTGCAGATTCGATGGCTCGTTAGTTGTAATTAAAAGACATCCTGAAGAATGTAAATAATCCTGATGATGAAAAGACAGCACGTTTCACAATGTAAATTAATCAAGACCCAAGATAATGGCAGAAAACCATAGTAAATATGCATTCTAAATTGATAACAAATCTTCATGACACTAATGACATTTTTAAACAAAAATTACAGATGAATTCTCACAACAATGAATCAACCCGAGAAGCACATTCTTATCACAGGCCAAAAGTGAAGGATCAACAAAAGAACCGACCCTCAGCCACCTCATCCTTCGTTCATGCATATTGATTTTATTTTTTAATGTGTTTTGAAAAAAAAGATCTGTATGATATCAATATTAAATAATACCAAATAATTTTGTTTGTAAAATTGTGTAAGAAAAATTTATTAATTTAATTTAATTTATTAATTATAGCAATGTTGTAAATAATTGCTTCTAGAAGAAGTGGTACTCATTTAACTTTAATTAGCTATTCGACATACAATGTACTACCAATATCATCAACACAAAATAAGTATTCACAAAAATAAAAATATGTACCACAAGTTTTTCATACCTCACCATGTCCGAATCTGTCTTACTTAATATTTATTTCAAATAATTCCTGATTTTAAAAATATTTATTTCGGGTAAGTTTGATAGAGATTAGCTGTGAAATATTTATATCTATTGTTAATCTTTTTTATTGATTTATTCAAAATAAACCTAATCGGATTTTACAATAGAAGTGTTTGTGTTATTTTACAATAGTAACCCCTTATTACTTAGTACATGCTATAATGTAAGACACTTTACATTTTTTACAGGAAAATCTCCAAAATTCTACAACAGCCTGACTAAAACATATAAAACTAAACGACGCAAAATACACTGAGAAGCAAAAAAGTGACCACCTCCCTTTTTTAGTAAATACCTGCAATTGTTATCATTTTTATTTTTTGTTGTTTACTAGATATTTTTAAAGAGAAATATAAGATATAGTTAAATAAAAAAATAAATAAAAAATAAAGTGAGTAAAATAATTTTACCAAAAATGTTGCTATGGAAACAAGGAAAAAATATTCAATTCACGGAGTATTTCCTCCTCTTGCGTTTATCACCGATTGCATTTGATGTGGCATCGATTTATGAGGTTTTGAATGTAAAGCTGTGGAATGTTTTCATACTCCTCCAACAGTGCCATTCTTAACTCATGCCAATTCTCTGGCATTACTGGATAGGTTTTTACCATCTTTGACAACTCGTCTCAATTGAATTGAAGCCCGTTCCAATTAGTTACCAACGATCATAGGAGGGTTGGTCCTAAGAGAAGGGGGGGCTCTGGGGGTCCTTGCATTGAGATGCATAAAAATGAAATCGTCGCCAGTTCTTCTGATAATACAATTAATTAAGGTTTTAAGTTGAGATATGATGAAGAACACGTTTGTGCGACCTTCCATAGAAATGCCTGCCCAAACCGTAACACGTTCCTTCCAGTTTCTCCTGAGTGAAAATGTTGCGGAGATATAACATTCTCATGTACTTCTCCAAGCACTCTCTCGGCTATCAAGAACTCAAAAAAACCCTAGACTCCTCCGAAGGCAAGATTTTAGTCAGTCATTTTTGCTCAGTCGAATTGATATGATTTCTTGAGAAAGTTAACTGAGCAGTTCTGTGTCCTGTCAGTAGTTCACGACAAGTGGAAGACCTCGCAATCCAGCTTCTGAACGTTTTCGGTACAACGTCTGAGCGGTACAACGTCGATTACGGAGTACATACGAAACAATAAAACTATTATTTCTTTGAGATGTGACACGATGGCGACCTGATCCTTGTCCATCCGAAAGGTTGAGTTACGTCCCGTATCTTGATAGCGATGGAACATCCTTCGGACATAAACACAAGTGGGAGATTTGTTCAATGTTTTATTTACCTCTGATCCTTTAAAAGGAACCAAATATTGTCGCAAGATGAAAAAAAGAAGGATTGTCTAAGAGATAATTAAAAATATTAAGGTTGGCCACTTTTTTGGCCATCAGAGAATATGAGTTAATTCGGCATAAGCCGACAGCGATTAATAATAATTAATTATTCTTTGTATGTAAGATCTTGGTAGAAATGAAAAAGTTTGTGTCACGAGAAGGATTCGAACCGACGACCTTTCGGCTTCTGGTGGGTTCGAATCCCGCTCGTGAACTTTTTCATTTCAACCAAGACCTCACATACAAATAAAGTACACAATACAAAACATAATTAATTGAAAGAAGTAATTTGGTCAATCAGACCACTAAATATAATGAATTTATTAATATCAATAATGCTTTATTTATGATTTCTTCTTTTTACAATATTTTACTAGTTATGTTATTAGCGTTCTATTATGGAAAGACGTCTGCCGGAAGTCAACCAAAAAAAGAAAGAAAAAATAAGAGAAAAAAATGCAGGGCTTGTTGATGTAAGGAAAACAATGAAAATATTATTTTATGTACAATTATAAACATGAACAAATATATACTTATATATAAATATAAACATATATAAAAGCATTTTTATTTTTTTNAGATGCGGTCGGGTGTGATGTAGGTTTCAGAAAAACATTTTCTTTATCGTGCCAACGTTTTGATCTTTTATTGAGCCCTGAAGATGATCTCAATAAAAGATCGTAACGTTGGCACGATAAAGAAAATGTTTTTCTGATACCTACATCACACCCGACCGCATCTCACGATATCTGAATAGCTATATAGAGAAGGATTAGTCTAAAGGCTGGGATTAACATGTATCGCTGGAGTTTCTTGAATGTTGTGGGTGAAGGTTGGATGTCCATTTCCAATTTTCTCAGGTTCTTCATCTTTTCCATTAGGAACGACAAGCCACTCAACCACTGAGGTCGTCCAGAAGTGCTGATCTGTAGGGTAACCTCCTTGTTCCTGTAGAATAGAGTGCTGTTTTCTGCATCTATGCAACCCTTTCAATTTATGCGTTTCCAGGCCACTTGAAGTTTTTGTTTTAACAGTGTCAGGTTTCGCAAAAATTGCCAGGTATTGGTTGATTTCGGGAATTCGTTGCAGTAAATTGGTGGCAATTTTGATGTCAGCAATCTGACAATGTTCCATGTTTTCATGAAGCAATATGTTCTCGCCACAAGGTGCTGCTTAATGAACCTCCTCCTCGGCGGAGCAAAGGTAAACTCCGGTGATTTCAGGGCACAGTTTTTTCAGTGGTTGGATAATCGAATTGTCGCTTGACTTAAAATTCTGCCGGCACAGTTATAAATTTGTTTTTGAAATAAGACGGAATGGAAAGTAGACAATGCAAGTAACAATCTGTTTGTTGCATTACAGGTAGCGACAAATAGTGCACAATTTCATTATTATAATATTTACATTTAGTTTTTTACCATTGATTCAAGTTTTAGGATCTTCTCTAATTTTAGCTCAAATGGAAATTCATCGGGATAATGCTTTATTATTCTGTTTAATTCATTAAACGTATCTTTAGGTTTGATTATACTGGGATGTAGTCTCCCTAGATTACAGAATACAATTGAATTTTCTATTTCCCTTAGCATATCAGAGATTAATTCGAATAATATAACTAGTTGGTTAAGCATATTTTCTAATTCTAATACATAAATGTTCTTATTATTATCCCTAGTGATATTATTAAGTTCTACAATTTTATCTTTTAATTCTACATTATTAATATTTATTTCTTTAATCAATTCTGTATACTTTTTTATTAACATATTGTTTACAGAGTATGGGTTATTTAACCATTCATTATGTAAACATTCATCCAAGTTAC